ATATTGGGCACCCTTTATAATTAGCTGGATGGTTTGAATCGCACAATGCACATCTTACGTTACTGTTAATTGGGTCCTTCCATGAGCAATCTGAAGTGAAATGATTACCGGCACATTTTACGCAACGTGGATCTTTTGTACAATAGTTTCTAGTATGTCCTAGACATTGGCACCTGCTGCATTGAGGAACTTCTCGAGAATGGCGCATGGGTTCGATTATAACTTTTGTTTTATATAAAAATTCAGTTGCGTATATTTTATTATTATTTTTGTCTTGCTGCAGTTCAACAACGAATATGTTTAGCGGAAGTTTAGTAGTACGCTGTCTTAGGTTGTAAATTCGTATGACCTTATGCCCAAGATCTGAGATTTCTTTTGACAAGATTTCGATGTCTGTACTGTGGTGAAGATTTTTGATTACAATTTTAAATGCCCTTTTTGTTTTTTCCTGGTATGAGTGAAGTTGAGTACCTTTGTCTTTCAATAATTTGAGGACAGTATTGTATGTGTGGGAATCCTTAGTATTAATTTTAACTTCCTTCAAACCAACGGTCTTGTATGAATAGAGTTTCTGAACATTATTTTCTAGCAGTTCTATTAGAGGTTTTATATCATTGACCCCATGCACAAAAATCGGTGGCGGAGTTACAACTTTTTCCACTGGAGGCGCTGAAGTTGAAGGCTGTTCGTCCATTTTGTCGTTTTCCGGAGCAACTGATTGTAATACATTATAATAGTTCTTGGTTGGTATCGGATCTAACCAATAATTTTTTGTGGTTGCCTTTTTTGTGACATTAGCGGTTTGTGCAGGTTCATTTTGCTGTCTTTTTTTACTCATGGCCAGTTTCCACTCTTGATATTGCGCGTTGAAACGCATGTCCCTGAAAGTTACTGGATATGGTTTGTGCGATTGCAGATTATTGTCACTTGGAAGCATTTCGATATCTTCTGACGTTTGCGAAGAAGTTCGCTGTTGATTCATTTGTGGTAGAATATGCGTTTCGACAAATTCTGCGTTAGTTGTAGAATCATCTTGAAGAATTTGTTGTGATTTAGTGATAAAATTTTCAGAAGTATTATTCATGATTTAAAACTTTGAAAAATTCACTGGTTGAATAACATTTATTTGACACGATGAAAATAATATTATAATTATAAATGTCACTGTGTTTATAAACAACGCCATGTCCCCCGCAATGGGGACACGTGATTGGCTGTATAAACTACGCAATGCGGGCACTGTCGCAGGTACTGACACAGGTAGAAAACACTATTGTTTACACTATCACTTGTTATGTAAATGACTGGTATCGGCTGAGCGATGTGAATCGTTCGAAGTCTGAACGAAGACTGTGAAAAAAAAAAAGCTTCTCCTAATTGATATCGGAAGGACCGAATTGCATTAATATGGCTGTGTCTATAGGGGTACTACATCTGGATGAGGGATCTGATAAAGACAGTTAGTGAGGTATATATAAATTTGAGTACTTAGTAAAATGCATTGCACTCACCAGTGAAAAACCAATTTTGCTTTTTAGCAAGAAAAACTGCTAGATCTTTTATGTGTTGATTCAGCCTATTAGCGTTACAAAAACTAATCTACTAATTACGGTACGGCAAGTTCTAGCAATTTGCCTTAAGGTACAATGCCATGCACCACTAGTTTTTCGATAAATTCTAGTGTAGACAAAAAGTAATTTACCTATCATAAGTGGGGACTACTATGATCGATGAGGGAATATAAAAAATAACAAACGCTAAACAATATTATTTATAGGTTAAACCCGTTGCACACGACGCCAGATTTCTTGGCTAGTGCATGCCACACTTTATCCTAGCATCGATAATATATACTATAATTTACGACCTTGCCAGCCACATTTCCCACTTATGCCAGCTATTCACAACGGCAGTATCCTTAACAAATTTCTTTGTATAACCATTTGCCTAGCAATGTCGGAAACAGATTTCAGAACAACTTCTGTTCTCGTTTTTTCTTGTAAGTTTTCAAAAATTTCAAAATTTTCAAAAAATTGTTTTAATTAAAAATGTTCAAACTCGAATTTTTCTAAAAACTAAATATTTTCAAAAAAATTCAAGATTTGCTCTAATTTTTTTAAAATTTTAATTTTTCGAAATATTTCAAAATTTAAGTATATTTAAATTTACATAAAACTTTTTCAAGACAAACTTTCCATAACCTTCTTATAATTTTATAACAATATGAATAATCCGATAAAGATATTGATTTCAGTATCTTTCAATGCTTTCACACATAGTTATCAAATCTGTTAAGTTTTTTTATAATTATTAGAGCTATTTTCATTCCATTTTTTAATTTTGAGTTTTGATGTATTACTTAAGTCATTAAGAATTTTTTATCAGGTGAATAATGTGAAGTTTGCCATCTTATTTTTGTTTACCGCTTTGCTGCTATCAATCTTTTAATTTTAAGACTAATAGTGGAAATTTTATTTTTAACTACTATTTTTATGTTTGTTGTTAAGGATTTGACCGCATTTTCATGATTTGTTAAAAATTATCAAGTTCAATATCATTGTTCAACTTGGAGTATGTAAATTGACTTTTAAGGTAACTTTTTTTTTCAATAATACTTCGATAAAATTCCCAGTAAGTATTGGTATTACGCACAGTTTCGAAAAATTCTTGAAAATGATGATTTTTCAAATTATGCCTCGGCTGAAATTACAATGTCATGTGGTAATTGTTTTACTTTAACCGAAGTTAGTTTAGACACAAGTCACATACATATAATATTATTCACTTATATCTTTACTTTACTTTCATTAATAAACCTAAATATGTGAGGATAACAATTTAAATTCTGTAATAATGATGACAAATTGAAGGGCTTGATTAGCGTTTTTGTGGGGTGCAGTTCCTCTAACAATTTTGTCATTTTTTCCTCAAATAGACTGCATTCTAGTATTATGTGTTCAGTTGATCCAATTGGTGCTCCATATTGACACGATTCTGATACTTTTACTCCTAGCCTTTTCAGATGTGCGGGTAAGTTGCCATCGTTAAATCTCAATCTCGTTAATGATACGATTGTACTTCTGTTTCCATTTACAAATTTCCGGAACCATGATTTCTTTTACAGCGATATGGTCCCCTTGTCTCCGACGAACTATTCCATTCTTCTTGCTATTTGTCAAATATTTTTTGTTCAAAATTAATCATATAGTAGTTATTCACTGTGGCTGCGTGGATTATTGTTCCACCCATTTTGCTATAGTGTACGCTTTTTTGTTGCTTCTAATACCAAGCTGGGATCTTATTCATAATAATTTAACCATATGACCGTGCTCCAACAGATTTATTTAGTATAGTATATAAGTCTAGTTATTGTAGACTTCATATTGTAATGTTCAATTTGTGAAAATAGATTTTTCAGTTTGTCTAAGCAGCTTTTGCTATCAGTGACAATACCCGCTTTAGTGAATTTGATACTTTCGACGAATTCGATTGCTTTTTTTATGGCTATTAACTCTGCTGGCCAAACTGAAACAAAGTCTGGGAGCTAATATCCTATTCTGATATTTGTTTTTCAAAAAATATTGCACAGGCAGGTTTATTTTTTAAGTTTTGACCCATCTGCTAATATAAACGCCTATAGTTTGTAGGTGTGGAGATCATTGCATCTATACATAATCTCAAACATTTGTATTGGATTTTGCCTAGCTTCCTGCAATGTGAGGAATTATTGAAAACTAGACTTCTAAAATCGAATGGTGGTCTAATTAATGTTTTGTATAAGTTTAGAGCTGTTGTAGGGTGAGCTCTCTACTATGCTATATTAACAAATCTATTACCTATATTCGCAAAATATTTTTTGTTTCAACTTTTTTGATGACCTGATCTATATGTGCTTTAAAAGATAATCTTCTGTAGAAAGTGACACCCAAGAATTTAAAGGTTTCTTGTATTTTAATTCTGTGATATTCAGTCGTTAGTGATTCCTCTAGCTTTCTTCGCCTTGAAAAAACTCCTATTGAGCTCTTTTCATCTGATAATTCGAGTCCTTGCTTTGAGAGTCATCTATATCAGATACTTTTTAGAGATTTTCATAATAGTTTCAAATTTTGTTTACATTTTTATGGGTTGCATACCAATGTATAGGCTGCGACGCGGCGCCAACGCGCTTAAATATTTTGTCTAAGTAACATCGGCGTAGTACGATTGCTATAAAAAAAGTTAGTTTTCGAAAAAACATAAGAATATAAAAAAAATCAAAAACTGATTTTTATGAAATTTTAAGAAAATGTTAAAATTAAAAAAAAGGCTTTCTTCGCCTTGAAAAAACTCCTATTGAGCTCTTTTCATCTGATAATTCGAGTCCTTGCTTTGAGAGTCATCTATATCAGATACTTTTTAGAGATTTTCATAATAGTTTCAAATTTTGTTTACATTTTTATGGGTTGCATACCAATATAGGCTGCGACGCGGCGCCAACGCGCTTAAATATTTTGTCTAAGTAACATCGGCGTAGTACGATTGCTATAAAAAAAGTTAGTTTTCGAAAAAACATAAGAATATAAAAAAAATCAAAAACTGATTTTTATGATTTTTTAAGAAAATGTTAAAATTAAAAAAAAAAAGTAATATTTGATCCGGAAAGTTCCAGCAATTTGACTTCAAGCACTAGTTAAGATTATTGTTCATTCAATATTTTTGTGTTACTTGTAAAATTATAATTACATATCAATAACAACAATACTAAGAATAAAAAAATATAATTTATTTTAATATAAAAACTATCTACAGATTTACAATTGTTGACATATTATATTAGCCAAGCTCAATATAATGCAAGGAGAGATTTCTATACGAGCATTCACTCCGCAAAAGATGAACTTGTATCTGGCGCCATTGACATTTTGCTTCCGTTGGCAGACCTGCGTCTAGTCGAGTGAGTGCATCTATTAATCTGTGGTCGTGTTCAAGTCACGTGTTCTGTGTGATCAGTAATCCATTATGTTGCTTCGTGTTCGTGCTGCGCATTAGTTTGAACGTATTTGTGTTTTGGTGTTTTTTTTTCTATTTTATTTAAAATTAGTGCTTTGGTGGACAAATAATCAAATGGCATAAATTGGCGATAAAATTGTTTGCAGATTTTTGGTTAGTATTTTGATGAATTGTTAATTCAAGACGTGAAACAAAAATTTTGACAGCGTTCTATTTCGTATTCGCTTTGATTTTCAATGTGAAATATTCGTTAAAAATGTTGGTGCTTTCCACGCTTTTGTTGCAACACGCGGTTGATTTAATATAAAACACAATGTTTGTTTTATTTATGATTATTATGTACATACGCACTTACTTTATTTATTGATATCATTTCCAATTTCATAGAAACGCTATAACTAATGCATATTCTATTTTAACACTGTAGTTGACATTAATTTTTTTTCCTTTTGAGACTATTTTAAAATATTTTATTTCTATATATGAATTAGTATAATATTCTTAACTTTCAGGTGTCGGTGAAGAAATTTTATCCAACATAATGGAGAGCCATGTGAATGTTTTGCCGAACAAAATCATCCTACATTTTATAGCCATGCAAGGTACACTGAGTAATAATTTTTAGCAAGTAAGTACTTGCAAGTTATTTATTGCGTTGGATATAATCCTGATTAGTATTATCAAAAATGCTTAGTAATAGCAAAATTGTTTTACGAAACACTTAAATGCACATGTTTCCAGAATTTCATGAATGAAATTCTAGACATTTGATCTGCTTTTATTGTCCGAACCTACAAGTAAAAAGTATGTCTATATATTTATTAACAGTTATCAGCAAATGTTGTCTGTATAATTATGAGTTTAGCTGTTAGTTTACGATTCACAAATTTTATAATTGCTAGCAAATATGGTTGTTGATGACACGCTGTCGATAATTTCAATTATTAAATTTGTTATTAACTTTCTATGGAACAGATTAAACTTATGTAGCATTGTTTATGGTCCTTGGTCTAGTTCTCTTATTTGTTTGTCATTTTACTATCCTCAATTTTTAATTTTGCAACTATTTTTTATTTTCTTATGTTCAAAAGTAAACCTCACATGATTAACTTCATAATTTTTTTCTTCACATAGTCTCTACTATACTTAGACGGTACTCTGCTTTCTGGTCACCTCCTAAAATTAATATTAACAAAAACTTGACTTACTATGTAAAATTCTCATAATGTTTCAAATTTCTGATATAGTAACATATTCCCACTTCAAGATATACTTTTGCACTGTAATAATTCTTTTGGAAAAAATTTGCTCGCTGCTATAGAATTTATCGGAAGTTGTGATAGAATATTGTACTTATTCATTACTAAAGTATCCCAATAAATTTTGGCATATGTATATGTATGAATGTGGGTATATATGTGTATATATATATATATATATATATATATATATATATAAATATATATCGAGTTTTACATTGTTTTCAATTGTTATGATTAGATGAAAAGTCCTGAATTGATTAAGGAATTTAAATTGAAGTGTGTTAAAAGATACTCAATGTAATAAGTTTATAGTAATGATTTCTTTAAATGTTTCAAAAGAAAAAATATCGAATTTGAACTTGATACTTAATACTTGCTGTTTGCCACCAGCATGGAACTTATGAACCATTATTAGCTGAGCTTGGGATCTTATATAGTAGATTTTTTATATTAACTATGATGGAAATAGCATCAATTTCAAATTCAATACAAATTGCTATTTGCTATTTAAGCGATCAATGAAAGCATTTACATACATTTAATCATATATCTATAGCTAGGGCATATCATTAATACAATCATGAATTTACTTGAAAAATTCATTTTAGAATCCATGAGTTTTCGTCTTTAAGCCTAATTCAGTGGAACAAATTTACATTCAAAAACTAAAGTATGTGAAATAATGCAAGTATGTAGCTTGTATAGTAGTTTAACTGTGTATTAATTTTTCATATAATAGTTGAAAATCATTTTATACGTGAAAATCAATAATCAATACTTAATCTTGCATGTACTTTAATTATTCTGAAGGAAAAAATATTGAGAGCATTTCATTTTTAGCAGATACATAATACCATATTGCATTATTACTAAATACATTTCAGTTTTGGTATGAGATTTTGGAGAAACTCTTCATCCTTGCATATAAAAATACAATAAATTCCCAAACATACTGTTTGTTAAGTTGCAAGCACTATTATTTTTATGCAGTAAAACAAAGCATATACTCCGGTGACCAAACAAATGAATCACATTCATAGAGCACTCACACATCTATGTTTCCTTTTGCGTAAAATACAAATGCCTATTGCTTAACTCTATATTTCCATTATATTCCTATTATAGCCTTGGATTCGAGTTCACATCCATACTGCATATTTACCTTTGCTTGGTCAATAGGATCTCTGTTATTAAAAAACAGGCATTGATTATAAATTCAATACTTCTATAGCCTTGGGTTCGAGTAATTACGAAAAAACGATGCGGCCGAACTTTACCAAAAACTAATCAGTATGAATAACCGTTTAAGAACATATTTGCGAAATACATACATCTTATCAACTTTTAGTAAATCATTGTCGTTGTCTTCCGCTCTTTCGGCTTGCTGAATATCCTCGTTTTTAATGGTTATATTATCTGACTCAATTTCTTGCTTTACAACAAAACCTATATTTATTGAAAAAAAAAAACATTTATAATACGATTTAAAAAGTTACTTCTTAATTCAAATAGTTGTAAGATAGTAGCTCTCCTTGAATCCTTGCCATTAATTCTTCTCATTTTCTGCGGCACTGGTCAAATACAAACGATCATCTAGTTTTAATAAATTGACTATGACTTAATTAATTTGACTATGCAAATTAATTGGGTCAATGGGATCTCTGGAATTCAAAAAAGCATTAATTACAGATTCAATACTCCTACTCTTTGACTTGCAGAAATTCTGTATGTAAAATAAAGACCGAATCATTATTTGTGCAGTTGATAATACAATATGCGAATTATAAAATTTCGATGGCCATGGCTCACAGAATTTATCCTAGCCTAAGGAAAATGAATCTTGCTCCTCGATAACAATAAGATAAAAGAGAACACTTACACAGCCATCACTTCATTTTTTCATGAACGAGCCGATTATACTAATCTATGTTTAAATCTTCTATAGTTTTCAACACCGCGTAAAGGAACAGATACTCGAGGTGGAAATACTTCTTTCACCAGCTTTCCTTCAGAGTACTTTTTTTATCTAGTGTGGTGGTTTTTGTAGTATTAAGTAATATTGTAAGTGCGAAACTATGTGAAATTTATAAATGGTAGATTTTTATGAAATCATTATGAAAATAAATATATTTGTATTGCATATTAAAATAATACATTTGTTTTATAAATTATATGTATTTAAACTAAAATAATATAAAACACAGATAAATAATAATATAAAATAAAAATTTCAAGGCTTACAATTTGCTGGATGATTTTTATCATAAAAGCATGAAAAACATAAAAATATATTGCAGTGAGCACGCTTTAAAAATTCTGCAGCATTACATAAACATTTGGCTCTACCTACAGATCCTGGAAAGCATATCTAGTGCTTCCTAATTTGCTCACAAACCATGCGTATCTGATCATTTTTTTAAATACAACAGCGGATAATTGGTGATGTATTAAAGAATGTATTTTCACTGTGTCTTCTTTCTATTCAATCCCCTTTCAATTTGCGTGATTTGATAACAATTTTGTATTTTCTCCATCCTCGTTCGTAAAATTATTATTGAATAAAGCTGTCTGTCTGACCACCCCATGAGTCAATTATCAGCAAAAACTTGTTATTTTCCACATAGGGCCCTAGAACATTGTTTATGTATGACACAAAATGTCCTTTTGTTAATTTTCCACTTTTAGAAGCGGTTAAAAAAACGTTTCCCAGTTCAGGCATGTTTTTTCCATTTTTGACGGTACTGTTTGGCCAAATTCGCCCGCTGGCTCACGCAAACATAAAAACACTTTAGGAAGCAGTTTACCTGATGCTGTCACAGAATACTGTGCAGTATATGTGTGAGTTAATTTAGTAAAAACTCCCCCACTAAAAAATATATTTCCGTTGCTTCAACTTCAAAAAGATTAAACTGCTATCAGAAAAGTCTTTTAAAAGTACAATCCTCCCTATATAAAATATTGGGTTCAAAGGTAAAAATATGTAAATTTTCAACGGAATGTTGGATAAGAGTGCTTTGGAAACTTTGGCTTTTATGATGAATGACGCCTTAATTCGTGTTGTCTAATTCTCTTATGGATATATTGTGATGTTTGGCCAATGTATTGTTTTTGACAATTTTTGCAAGAGATTGTATAAACTATGTTAGTATTAAATTTAGGAGGGGTGGTGGATTTAATTTTTGAAAACATTTCTTTAAAAGAATATAAAAGCTATTCCTGAAATAAAAATATCTTCTTCTTTGAGTAGTTTGGCAAAATAACCAAATAAGCCTTCAATGTAGGACATGCTATGCAAAGTAGGTTTTATATTGCTGTTTTGGAACAATTTGGTGATGGATTAATAATTGTTAGATTTATGAAAGACAAGTCTTTTATTGGTAATGGAGTTACTTTTTCTTCTTAGCCCTGAATATTTCATAGCTAATTCATCTGTGAACATTTTTCTTAAAACATTTATGGCATGATCACACTCATGCAACAAAATCAGCCTGTAATTTAAAAAATGCGTTTATAAAATTTAATTTTTTCTTTTTAAATAATTTCATATGTTTTATACCAGATCAGATTCCATTTTTTCCCATTTTTATCGCCCATTTTTTTCCACCACTTCGACATCATTTACAGTAGTCTTCAAAGGGAATAAAGTATCGGAAATATTTGTTTCCTTTTTGTGCAATGTACGGTGGATCGAATTGCTTTTTTGGTCGCTGGCCTTCTCCAAGATTATCAAACGATTTAGACTTAAATCAAGAGTTGCTGAAATCAAATAAAAATTATATGTCAAAATAAATCAGATTGTCTTGGTCTGTCCCAATCCTGCATTATTTTATTCATGCTAGCCATTTTGCAGTCAACGCCTGGCAAGGCAACTCTAAGGAGAGCTGTAACAGAAATAGATGTTAGGAAAACATTATAAACAATGAGTCACATTTTACTCACATTCAATAATCAAGAAACGCTCTTTGAGCATCTGTACTTCTTTTAAAAAAATGCAATTGCAAGCAGCTTCCCGTCCTCTGCTTGGGAGAGCCTCCACTCCATGCATTGGACCATCTTCCATTCCATGCGATTGAGCTTCAGCAACTCCATGCGATTGAGATTCAGCCACACATCCGCCCGTAGTAGCTGCATTAAGAACAAATTTGTTTGAAAATATATAATATTTTATATGATCACGATTTTTTTTTTTTATAACTCTTACGCTAAGGCCGGAATTGGACCTCAATAGCTTCCAGTCAACGAGGTCAGGAAGCCCTGCTACAGCTGCATCTGTACATTATAATAATTAAAAATATTATATAAAATATATTTTGAAATTGCAGTAATTTATTACCTTCACCATCCGAAGTGTCGCTTTCTGATTCAGGTATGACTGCAGCCTTTCTTTTCCTATGCCCCTTGCCTAATTCCTCTTGCGAGGCATATTCCGAATCATCTGCGTGCTTCCTTGCTGACATATATGTGCCTAGAACAAATATCGAAGTCAATAAAGCTTCCAACATTTCAATACTTCATATTTAAGTTATTTCCCACCATATAACCCGACAAAAGTTATTTTTCTTCTAATCCACTCCGACTTGTTCACTGACGTTTGCTTCGCAGCTAAAGACGAAATGCGATATTTCATACAGGCAGGGGGCCACCACACTTCAGTTATATTTTCAGAATCATTATTTTCCACTATCAACCATTTGGAAGGAACCTCCATTGTGTACTTAGTCGTCCGAACAACAGCAAAACTTTTCATTATGCATTGTAAATAAATTAACAATGCCCAATATATAAATTCCTCCGAAACGACTCCTTAATTGGGATTTTTGTGATCGTCATCATCTGCCTAAATAACTTTGCTAAGAGCAAAGCCGCAGATAATTCTAGCCGAGGCAACGTCACATTTTTTAATGGGGCTACTTTCGATTTCGAACAAAGTAACCTTGATGACAAGGTGCCATCTGCGTATGTTGCCCTTAGATAAATGCAGGCACCATATGCATACAATGAGGCGTCTGAAAATCCGTGACATTGAATTGTCACCGGAATTGACTTAAAAATATTTCGGGGAATACTGAGATTCTCTAGATCAGAGAGATGAACTTTAAAAACATTCCACCTATCTTGTAACTCTCGCGACAAAGTCTCGTCCCAACCAAGGTTTTGCCTCCACAACTCCTGCATTATCAACTTTGCAGTTACAGATATTGGAGATATGAGCCCAATTGGGTCATAAATCTGTGCAATTGTTGATAATACAGATCGTTTTGTGTCAACACCTTAATATGCGCTATTTTAAAAACATCCTGTGAATGATTCCACGCAAGCCCTAAGGTTTTAACAGTGTCTGCTTCAGAAAACAAGGCCATAGCAGAGCTTTGACTTTCCTTTCGGATAGTTTGTAAAACTTCACGACAGTTACTTGACCATTTATGTAAGGAGAACCCCCCTTTCATCTAACAATTGTACAACTTCCCTTTGTATCTTAACCAACTCATCAGCAGTATCAGCACCTGTAATGATATCATCAACATAGCAGTCCGTATCTAGCACTTGTGCTGCCTGTGAAAATGTTAACGCATAATTTTGCGCCAGCATCTTCAAACAGCGCATTGCCAGGTACGGAGCACTAGCTGTGCTATATGTTACCGTGGTGAGTTTGAAAATCTTTAAGGTTTCCTGGGGTGACCCCCTCCATAAGATCAACTGATATAACTGATCAGTATCCTTAACTTTTATTTGGCGATACATTTTCACAATGTCTGGCACAAAAACAAACTGATGGCACCTGAATCGAACTAAGATAGAAAACAAATCCTGCTGCAATTTAGGGCCAGTGTGAAGAATATTATTCAACGAGACACCAGAGGAAGATTTCGCCGAAGCATCAAAAACTACTCTAATCTTATTGAAGTTATTATCCTTCACAACAGGGTGATGTGGCAAGAAATATAAATTATTTTGAATTACTTCATCCTGAGTAAGTGATATCTACTCAGCGTGCCCTAGTTCAATGTATTCATTCACAAACCGTGAATATGCTGCAAACAAAATACTATCTTTAGAAAATCGCCTCTCTAAATTCAAAAACCTATGTTTTGCACCTAAATACGATGATCCTAGTTTTTCAATTTTGCCATCTACAAAGGGTAGAGCTACTTCAAATTGACCATTTTCAAGCCGTGAAACATTAGAGAGGAAATGATCCTCACATAACTTGTCAGACCCGGTCATTGTATAGTTAGAGGATACCTCCTCCAACTGCCAAAACCTGGTCAGACTGTTATGCAGGTCTTCATTAGAAATAAATCAAACATGCACATTTTCCTGAGTTTTTGAAGTATATACCCCTGAGATCAGCCAACCAAAGCAGCTCTTTCTTAGGATAGGTAGGTGGTTCCCTAAACGAATGCAACCTTGCTGTAGCACTTCGAAATATAACTCCACCCCTATCAACATGTCAACTGACCCTGGAACATTGAACATTGGGTCCGCTAAATCAACATTATCTGGAATCTTCCAGTTATCATAATCTATAAACGCAGAAGGCAGAGACTGGGTGATCCTGTCAACAGCTACAAAATTAATAGTACGAGCAAAGGACCCTAATCTAGATCTTATTGTCAACTTAACAGCCTTGTCACACAAAACAGTCTGCCCCTGTAACATACTCAATTTATGCAGAGATGAACTAACCGGGCATTTCAATTTTGCTAACAACGAGGAAGTTATTAAGTTGATTTGTGACCCACTCAACAACGCTCGCACCTTATGTTGGGTTCCGTCGGTGCCCATAACAATGAGAGAAACCGTAGATAACCGGGGATGTTTGCATCCCCGTATTATTTGCCATGCATACAGTACTACTTGAAGTGCTGGGCATTGGCTCAGGTTCTTCATGTAGCAAAGTATTATGCGATTCTTTGCACTTTGAACAATCATATCTAAATTTACATTTAGCAACATTATGTCGAGAAGCCAAACAACGAGAGCAAATCGAATTTTTATTAATAAAAAACTTACATGCCTTTACATCCAGTGCCTTAAAAGTAGAGCATTTATACAGCACATGGTCTTCATTTTTGCAATAACTACACAGTTGTGTAGGTTTCTTAACAATTGTATGAACAGACTTGGTGGTTGGTTTGCTGTCTGTGCTACACGAATTCTCCAAGGCTGTTACCCGGAGTTCAAGAAATGTGAAGAACTCCACTAAAGAAGGTAACTGCTCTGACGCCCGAGACAGATTCCAAGCCACTTTTGTCCCACTGTCAAGCTTCCTACACAACATATGCAATAAGATAATGTCCCAATGTGCTGCAGGCTCAAAGAAGGCTTTCAATGACTGAATTTGTTGTCTTGCACTATTTAAAAGAGCTCTCAACCTCTCATGACTGCCCTTTTGTATTACAGGTATGCTATCAATGCTCTGCAAGTGAGCATTGACAATTAAAAATTGATTATTGTAAGTTTTAATTACAAGATCATATGCTACTGCATAATTTTCATTTGTGACACTTATACTAGATATTAATTCTGAAGCTGATAAGGTGAGAGCACCTTTTAAATAGTGCAATTTCTGCACTGGCGCTAATTTTGAATTATTATGAATCAATGAATTAAAAATGTCAATAAAGGCTGTCCACTCACTATACTCGCCATTAAATTTTGGTAATACAATATCTGGCAATTTCACGCTATTTTTTGATTTTTCGGATTTTTGATGGGAGTCAATAATTGATTCTATCTCAGCTATCATATCAAAGTATAATTCCGAGTATTTAAGGTACTCATTAGTGTACACACCTGGAGACATGCTTTCGCTGGACGTACACCTCATCCCAGTTGTGGATACGTTCAACAAGCTTCTGCTTCCGAACAGAGAGAGCCTTTACATTGTCGCCCTCCTGGAATCCAGTAACATATTTGTTGATGGCATCAAATAAAGCCTTGATCATTTTATAGGTGCCTTCCAATGAATCCGCATCCGCCATTATACCAGCCAGTTATACTATACTAAATTAATATTATTACAACACGTGCTACACAATGTACAAAAGCAATAAAGAAATCTTAACACTTATTACTAAGTCAATTAATACAGGAATAAGGTCAATAAACACTTATGTGTAATGTGCAACAATAGTGAGGTTACTGCAATGCATAGAATTTTGAATCACTCACGACCCCCGTGTTTTGAATTACACGAGTCAGCGTTGATCCTAATTTTTGTCTTCCACGTGGGATCCTAGTAACACGATATCCTCCCCAGCTTGTGTAGAAGCTTCTCGATTATAACTTGATCGTCGAGTTGTACGAAATTAGTGTTTGCATGAATACCTTTTTCTTGCGCTGCGAGCTGAATCCTAACCTCAAAATTTGGAACTCCCAAATCTTTGAGTGACGACGACGATTTCAGCGTCCGAACTGCTAGCTTGGTTAAGGATATTCTTGTTGCTCTGCTGTTTGTTTACGAACGACATAGACAACTTCAATGCCGCACGCGTAAACAAAACAATATACGCCGGTAATACTTCTTGTATATAAAAAAACTTTTCTCACCACAGTGTATAATAATTCTCAAAAATAAAGCTTGCACTGGTGACTATCCGTGAGAAAGACCAAATTATGGTATAAAGAAACACTGGATGGATTATAAGTTAATATATTTTATAAGATGTTTACTCCTCGGCGGTATATGTACAAGAGCGGCAAGTATTGCGGGGAAGTCATGTCAAAACGTGAACATTGCGTCTTGCATGACATGTCGCCAACATAACAGTAACGCGTCGTTCTGACAATACGAACGACGCGCGCGAAGTTTAAATACACAGTTAGAACTATGAATAATTCTGTCCACTCATCTTATATGTCTTACTCGTACATCTCTCTGCCTTGTCGATAGTAATGTTCCATTTATTCTACGGGTCCTCTGAATAAAAGCATTCATTTCGAGGCGTAACACCAATTGAATGGCCTTATCCATCCTCCTAGAACACTTTCTTCCCAAAACTCGGTTTTCATTTGGTTATGAAAACTTTCTAAAAACATGTTAGTATTTATTCCTAAACCTTTCCGATAACAATACGCCCAAGTAGTTGCTCGGTTGTAATAAAATTTCTTAAAATATGTAATAAATAATTTAGCATCGTCATCTTTCTTAAGTTCATTCAAATAAGAATTTAAATTGCTCCAAAAATCATCTTCATCTAAAATCATTTTTAATTCTTCTAGACTACACGTTTTTCTCAATTTACAATCTTTTGTGATACTGCTCTCTTCCAGCTCCTAGACATATGCCAGGAGCATAAATGTTTATGCTGTGGCGCACCCATGACAGATGACCCAGCATTAAAATAAGCTGTAGCGTACCTTTGTTTCAAGTATACCCACCACCTTATAAATTTCTTCGAAATATATTTTACACATCAACTCATTTTGCCTATTTGAAAAACAAAATGCGACTGGTATGCCGCTTCCAAATTCATCTACCACAAGCAGTGTTTGTAGCAGATACCCATATCCATTCGTCCCATGACTACCATCAATACAAACTCTGTCAGTACCAAAGTTCTTCAACATTCTACATTGCATTTTTGTCATGATTATTAATATATAATCTTCATCTTGAAGCCCCGTACTTAGCAGGTCCAACTTCTTTATGAAAAACAAATTATTTAAATGTTTTTGACGCCACGTGTCACTGGCCCTTGCAGTAGGGATGGCGCATTTGTTAACATTTCCAAACTTTCCAGGTATAGTGAATAACTGTAATGATAGTATGTAAAATGAAGAACTTTATATGTAATAAAAACAAACTTGTAAATACTGATAATTATTTTGTGGAAAGATATCTTTATCAGAATTCTGATACAAACTGGCACAAATGTCTACATTATTATAGTAACTTACATAAACTCCGGGACGTCTGCACAAAAATCTAATTTATTATAGTAGGGAAACTCGTGTTGCCAATGAAAGTTGCCATAGAGCAAAACTGTGGATTGCCTATGCCATGGGCTGGGACGGCTGAGTGGGACTGTCCAGTCACTAGACTCTAGTGGACCGTGGACCGTATTAACAAATGCGTCAAATGAACACAACTTTCACTACGTTTATTGTTTGAGTATTTTTTGAAAGCACCCCTAATCATTTTTTTCAACTTTTCAATGCAACAATTAATGTCTTTTTTACTATATCAATGGCAAATTGAAATGTTTCAACATAATCCACAATAAATTTAGTAAAAACTCAATCAAAAAACTTTCTAAAAATTGTAACATTCTGGATACATAAAACATATGAATTCTTGAAATTTAAAAGAATAGCACATAACTATAAGTTAAAACATAATGCAAATGAATGATGAATTAGAATCAACATAAGTCAAATATAGAAATTATATAGAAATGATCATTAGCTAATCTTAAATCTAATTTTGATGTAACAAGACGAAACATAGATATTTGAAAAACAATACAAAAGTTAGAGAATATTTATTCAACATACATCATACATTCAAAATATATAATGATACTATAAATAAAATAAATATTGTAAATATAGAAATAATTTATTTTATTTAAATTTATTAATCGCACAAACATTTTTATCCTAACTTATTGTGCACCCATGGATGTTGTTCACCATTGGAATCGGAGATATTTGTTGATCCCCCGTGTAAAACCCACAATTAGAATTTTGTCCTCTAGGAGCGACACATTTATTCTTATTCCATATAACTCGAGCTTTCACTCATTGCTATGTAGTGTCTGCTTGATAATTGATTGTTTCTCAAATTTTAAATATTATTCTTGTGGGTGTTGTGCAGGACCTTTGGCTGTCAGTTGACTGACGTTTCCATCCCTAACCACGTGGAGGCGGTCCTGATTTTCTAGCTTTAGTCTGGTTTATAGGTTGTAGTTTTAATTTTGTACTGCATTTCTGATTTTAATGGCTTGTGCTGCAAAACCAACAAGCCCCAGGTAATTGGCTTTGCTTCCCAGGTACACATCAAAGTTTGTGTTTCCTGCTATTTCAAAGAGTTTTTGCATTCTTAATTCATCATATCTGTCGCACGACCAGCATGTGCGCGCTTGTCTCGCTTTGTCCACAGAAGGGACATTTGTCGTCTTCTGTGGCGCCCGTTGTGTAAAGTGTGTGCCTAAACGAAATGAATGTACACGCACTCCCTACTGGGTTTAAACCACTTGTTTCTTGTAGCGTATGTTACGTCGCCAATTTAGCCGTGGGTTATCCTACCCATATTTGCCAATTTCCATCTTTTCTGCCATTCCAGCTTTATGGCTTCCTTTATCTTTTTAACCTCTAGATTGAGGGTTTCTTTGCTTGGGTTTGCTATTGAATTGTAATTATAATTATTCCAGCTAATTTTCTCATTTTTACAAGGTTTATGATACTTTGCTGTGTAATCTCCAAGTCTAGTGGCATTTTGCCACTTATTGTTTGTAGTGCATTTATGGCGGTGGTCCGGCACGCCTTGGTGTGAGAGTCAGTAGTATTATTCTTTGCGCGGCGTTCAGGTCTCTAAGGTTGTGCGTGTGGGGCGACTTGTCGAACCACGCAGCAGCGCTATATGTTGCTATCGAAAATATCACTGCCTTGTACAGAGTGTCAAGGGTGCCTCTTTTAAGGCCCCATTCCTCCTTTGCAACCCTCCTGATTTTCAGGATGAAGCTGACTGACAGGATGAAGCGCTATAAAGTTTAGCCTATTATCTATACGCACCAATCCTCAACAAATTTAAGCGCCATAGTACCAGTCTTCTCCAGATCATTTCTGGAGTTTCCTTTCATTACTAGCGCCAAGTCATCTGCGTATGCAATAGGTTCCACAGTTTTCCTCCTGATCTGTGGACATCCTTTCTACATGCTTCTCCCAACCTTCTTAGTTGGGCAAATAAAGCAAGAACATACTTCATATCTGTTGCCATGCATTTTCTAAAGATTAGCAGTGCGTCCTCCGTGGAGACGCCTGCTTTAAAGCCAAATTGTCGTGCATTGCACATGTTCATCTCTATGTAATTTGCCTTAATAAGCTCTACGAGTATTTTCTCGTAGATCTTTCCCATCGCTGGCAGAAGGGCAATTGGGCGTAAGCCTTCTGTTTTCACTCCCTCGTTTGGGAATTAGACATAGGTTTGTCTGTTTCCAACCGGTACGAAAACTACCATCTTGGAAGCATTTGTTTAGTGTACTTAGGATTGCTTGTTTGTTGTGGCTCCATAATTTTGTGATTATTTCGCCAGTGAAGCCGTCTTCTCCTGGGGTTTTTTAACTTTTAGTTTTAGTAATGCCCGTTCTACGTCTACAGAGTCGATGCTTGGTTCGAGGTTCTGATTTTGATATTGACGCATAATTTCTCTAATTTTAATATGATCAGCATCTCTTGCTGGTCATCTGTAGGCAAGCACTTTTTAAGAAGGACGTTCACAGTTTCTTCCCATGCTTTACTGAAGTTCCCGGAAGGGAGTTCTAGTGAGCATAGAGAAGCCTTCTTGTTTATTTTATCACATACGATTTTATATACTATACTCCAGAGATTTTCGTTACCAACGCTTGTCACAAAGTCTTTCCATGAGGTTGTTTTTTGTTTCCTAATTTCTCTGACATAGTCATTTCTTGCCCTTTTGTATGCCTGAATTTTGGTTGGTATGTCAAGACATAGTCTCTCGGCCCGCAAGAGACACTTTTTGGTTCTATTAGTTTCCCGCCTTAGACAAGTCAGCTCCTCCGACCA